AGGCCCAAGCACCAAGAAACAGAACACAAAGCAAACTTGTGACCATCAACAGCTTAGAACCTCTGGAAACGGGAGATCATATTGTTCCAGCTACACAGTGTTATCTCAAGTCAGTGACACCTGAAGTCTATCAATCAACCACATGCCCTCAGCATCCAATTAGTAGATAGTCTGAATCTGAAAAAGATATCTGCCACATGAGCAATTAAACAGGTGTATAAGGTTATTGAGTAACGCAAAAATTAAGCTGGATATGTGACACTAGAGTTTGAAGGCAAATACTTCAGCAAGAGTATGAAAAAGCACAGGATTTACATCTCAGTTCATTTCTCTGCATTTCCAGGCTACTTCACAGTGAATGACAGCTTAATAACTACAGAGTTGTAAGGGAAAACTGGTGCCTCTCATCTCCAGAAAGGTTGTTTGGGAATTCTGTGCATTTCCCCACACTCAGCCTCCTCAAAAGGTTATTCTCCTAAACTGAGACTGCAAACACAACTACTTGAAAAATACAATCTAAAAGCAAATACTAAAATGGAATTCTGATTGATAAGGCTGTACAATAAGCACATAATTACCAGCTAATAAACACTTGTCTCTTAGCTCTAGTTTGTTGGGTTGGTTTTTCGAAACTATCTCACAACAAGCATAGTTCATACAACTATCCAGTAGTTGCTAATTTGTTTTACATAACTCTATTTCAGATTACAAAAGTGAACTTATTTATATTCTGTATAATCAATAAAAATTATATAAAGGAATATTATATAATCAAATAATATTAAGATGTTATAATAATGAAATAAGCAAGAGAGTCAGGCACAGCAAGACAAAGAGAACAAATAGGAGGCTTACCCGTGTCGTGGGCTCGCTCAGGAAAGACCAGTGGAGTGGATCTTCCAAAGAGAGAGAGATCCCTTCCCACTGCTAGCCAGCTCTTAAATGGGTCTAGGAGAGGTGCAGCCAGGCTCCACCCCTTCCTGCAGCACAGGTGAATTGGGGCTGACTCATTGCTCGCCTCAGGTGATTAATCAGAGGTTCAGGCCGTGACTCAGCAGTTCCCATACATATTCCAAAGCTAAAAACATTTGGTTTTCTAAGAAGAGAAAGTATCATATGTATATATATATTTTTGTGAAGGGGCAGAGAAGCGTTATCAGCAAGGTGGAAAGAGAAAGACCAACTGCTTATTCTTACCTGAACGCATATACCAGAAGCCTTGGTCAAAGTACCTCATCAATAACTACACAGGCCACAGAAAGCTTATTTTAAGGTAACAAACATATAGAATACAGTAACCTGTTCAAGTGGAGATTATATATTTACTATATATCTATGAAATAAATCCAAGTTTAACATGACTGAAACTTTACTCTGCAATAGAACAGCAATTATAAAACAACATTTAAAAATATAAAATAAAGCATCAAGTTCTGAATTATACTTAATCAAGAGACAATACCTGAATAGTCCCAGTCATTATTTTCCACTTGGATGAATAAAATGGGTGATGCAGCATGCTTCATTACATCTGTATGCTGTCATCCAAAATTTGGGAGTGAACAATCCAAGTATTACAAAGTATGGCTTATGCAACACAGTGAACATTAGGCCATGCCTCTGAATACCCAGTTCTGAAGAAGAGGATCACTCCATCAAACAAACTCACAGGTAAGTTGTCCAAGATAGTAAAAAGGGCACTTCTACAAAGACTAATGTCAAGTTGCATAAATGAAACAAAACATCCTGATAACCTAACTTCTCTATGCTAAATGAAAGCCAAGTTCACTGAATTCACAACAAAATTTCACTCCTTTTCTACTTCTGAAATCCCACGCTACAGGAGGGAGAAGTGTTCCACACGAGCACTTATTTCTTAAAAACCAGGCAGGGAGGATGAGCAGTTACTGGTTCAGTTCTGCTGAATTTTTATTAATAAAGATTTTTCTTTCTTTCTTGCTGCTTATTCTTCTGGTACTTTTAATGCATTAGCAGTTTTTCATCCTCACCTCTTAGCAATTAGGATGGATCAGCCTGACTGCTTGATCCATAGAAAACGTCTTGGTGAACGTTAGGCCAAAAATCATTCATCCCACAGAAAGAGAAACCTACAAATGCCAACAAGTGTTAATATGACTTTCCACGTTAGAAGCCTATCATTTCTCAGCTGCTCAGCCAGCAGCAGTTGGCAGAAAGTGCTGTTAAATGGTACACATACTCAACTCCCTTCCTTAACAATCACCTGTTTCCAAGCACAGGAGAGCTCCCAGCTCACCCACTGCAGGGTTTCTTTCTTCAGGGCCTATCCCAAAGGGAGCACACTAGTAGGTATGCAGGCATATCTAACCTATAGTGAGTCACAGTGCCAAGAAACCAAAACCAGTTTCAGAACAAGTTAAGCCACAAGGTATACTATTTCCAGAATAAGCAGCTACCATAGCACTATTAGCCCTAAGCTAATTGCAGCAGCTCCACACTTTAAGTAGGGTAGACTTCACACAACAAATAGGGATAAGGAATAGTATAGCAGTAGTTTTTCACAAGTCAGAAACTCACTTCTGTAACTAGAACACATTCTAGTTAACTTACAAAGTAAATTGCACTGTTACAGAAGTCTGTCTGATACCTCTTTCTTTCTAGTATTTCCATTCTTGCAATTATATAGAAGATGCTGGAAATCGTGCTTGATCATTTTCCTCACAAAGAAACAAGAACTGCAAGTAAAGATAACATTTTATTTCTTAAAAACAGAACATTATTCCAGCATTTCTTCAACTCTTGAACTGTTGACTCAAGAGCTCAGGTACTAGTAGGAAATAGGCTAATCAAAACACTTCTTATTTAAGTAAAGCTCTTCAAGATGCTGACCAACAGATGATCTCTTTCATGCTAGTAAATATTTCCATATTTTCCTCAAGTTTATAGCAGCTTTTCACTAAACTAACAAATTCTAGCAATGAAAAGCATCAACTTAGAAATCAGTCTTTGCAAAATAAGGGTGTTTTTTTATGTTATTTCTTTTCATTGTTTTAACAGAATAAAGTTCAATGCAACCTAAATATGCAAACATTTATTACAATTAAGTAACATTGGCTGTTACTGACTTCTTAATGACAAGAAGAGATTGAATATCTTCTTAATGACATTCTAGCTTACTTTTGACAAGACAGTACAAAAAACATGATAGGAGATACTTCAAGAATGTCAGTAAACTGTATGTCCATAAGAGATACTTAAAGAATGTTGGTAAACTTTCTATACTGCTATTTCCTCTTTACAGAAGGATGGAGAGCCTGATCAGTAAGTTATGCATCAGATGCTAAAATCTTAGCTGTCATTTTGTCAAGAGCAGGACAATAGCCTTTTGCCTCACTGCATATCTTAGACAAGTGATTGACCCCACTTTCTCTCTATCCTCCCACTAAACACTGCTGTCTGCCTTAGCTTATTAAGGCTCAAGAAAACCAGTCCATACACCACATGCTTTTGAGCCCTTGCACTGGTGCCCAAACTGGCCCTAAGCTGGAACACTGGGCACAGCACTCCAAATCTTCTCACAAATATCAAACAGAGCTGATGGGTCACTTTCTGCTAACAGGGCAGGACACAGACTGTTTTGCTGCAAGGGCACATTGCTGACTCACATTCAGCTTCTTGTCTGCCTCGATCTGCCAAACTGCTCAGCTTACTCCCACCTTTAACGCTTGGCACTTGGTCAGAGTAACCCTAGGATTCTGCATTTGCCTTTACTGAATATCATAAGGTTTCTATTAACCCCTTCTCTCCAGTCTACCAGGGAGAATCTGAACAGAAGCACTGGTTTTCAGCCTATCAAGCATTTATCTCATTTTGACATAGTCTACTAGCTTGTTGAAAGCACATTACATGTCTTCCACGACCAGTAAAGACATCAAATAGCATTAGTACCAGCGTGAAACCCTGAGACATCATCGGCAATCCAAGAATAAAACAAACACCCTCACATACACTTTTCAACAGAAGCATCACTACGTTGAGCAGAAAGGCAGACGCCCTCTTCACTACCTTGTTCTTGAATACAGTTACCACACTTGAAATATTTGTACTCAGTTCTAGCCTCACTAAAAGCCTACGAAGGAAAGCGTTCAACTGATGGATTTGTAAAAATTCACTTTTGCCAGAATTAATAAACAATACTTTCACTCTTCTGAACAAAAACGCGATTTCCAGAGCTGCTTAAATTAATCCAATTAAGAAGTTACAATTTCACACACACACAAAAAACCTACAGTAACTTTTGTCTGCCACTTCAGCATTTTAAAATATGTTCATATATTTATACACACACAAATTAAGGACACTGACTGTTACTTTCTGGTCATTATTAAAACAAATCTCACATTCAATTACAGAAATTACTCTGAAAATACTCCTGTCAGTCCGTGCTGCTTCTATTAAGTTTTCAGTTCTCTATTTCAGATTCTAAAAGTGAACTTATTTATATTCCAAAGGTAAAAACATTTGGTTTTCTAAAAAGAGAAAGTATCATATATATATAAAGTTTCTTTTTATACCTTTGCTGTGTTGCTGCCAATAAAACTCTAATGACATTTACTCAAACCTTAAAAGAAATCTGAGAAAACAGCAATAGCCTCTGGAACACTACACATTAGGAAATGCAAGGTAAAGAGAAGTTAAAAATTAAGAAAGTCACAAGGCCAATCTGATACCTCATTTGTAGTCTTACAAAAATAGCTGCCACAAAGGATTTCTGGACGAGCACTCCAAGGAAAAGAAGAAAAAGCATTTTCATCTCTTTCAAACCTATGGGATCCAGTCCTGTATCATCCCACCTCCATAACATCAACCATCCCTACACAGGATCATTCACACAGAACGCCTCACCTCCGTTCCAGCAGCAAATATGCCTATTACCACACAACTGAAAACATGTAACAAGTTGCCATCTCTGAACATTTACCCCAAAATTCTGGTCTACGTGACTTTGCTGCTATTGTTACCTGTAATTTTGTATCCATATGCAGCTAGCTGTCCCGCCATATATTCACCATCTGAATTATTGTGAGAACATCCCCATGTACGAATCCAGATTTTCTGAATACCAGGAATCACACTGTTACATAGAAATGAATCAAAAAAGGCAAGTTAAACACAAGCTTCCACTTCAGAACTATTGAGCACATTAAGTTAACAGCACTTCTCCAAATACACAGCATAAGTAACACAAACAGTAACAAATGCAGAACAGGAGGGTAAGGGCATCACAACTATTAGTAGAGTAATAGAGCACTGCATCTGGGATGGAGATAACTTTCTTCATAGCAACCCGCATGGTGCTGTGCTTTGGATGTATGGAACAGTGTTAGCCCAGCATCAAAGGCTTCTGCTTCCCACCATGTATTTCACTGCAAGTAGACTGGGGTTTTCCATATCATATGACACCATAATCACCAAAAAAAAACAACCCCGAGAATCTGGACTATCCAAATTAACCACTGTCCTGACACTGTCTGGGCATCAGTCTTCTGAAGGAGACTCTCCCTTATTTTAACCAGCTTCATCTTAAGCCATACATTTTCTTGCTTTTGATCTTTTGACTCTCACCCTCGGCCTGCTGGGAAAGGATGAGAAAGCAGCTGGGTGGGTACTTAGCTGTGGGCCAGGGCCAAACCACAAGAGTGCCAGATAGAATTCTTAATGTTTGGGTTTGTTTTTGTTTTTTAAATATGAGCTTGAATAAGCTCTTCATCACAGAACGGATGCAAGATCTTTTTTTTTTTTTTAGAGCAAAACAAATATTTCTTCTGAACACATTTGAATTTTTCAACAAAATACAGTTTGAGATTTGCCTTCATTCCTTCCACAGATAGCTCCTCTCTTCCCAGACTAGAGCCTGGACTTTTAAAGGCAAGATTGACTATCTAAGTCTATCTCAGACAAACAAACAACCTCAAAAGTCTAAAAGCACTTGAAAACTACTGACACAAACAAGTCCCAAATAGTGGTGGAATTTCTAGATGCATTAAGACTAAATCCTTGGTTGTCTCACTAAAGTAAAAGTGACTGCTCTGTAATAATTTTTGTCCGTCTTCTTCAGAACAGAGAAACCACTGACCTATGTCAGGACTCTAAGGGCAGTTCTAGAGCAAACCTGAGGAACAGCTCCTGGTGCCATTTCACTGACCACAAACATTTTGGTTTGATTTTGCTATTAGTTTGTTTTTTAAGGGTTGGTTTGGGTGGGTTTTTTTTGCTTTTGGACAGACCTTCTTTTTTTTGGGGGGGGAGGGTTGTTTTTAAATAAAAGAACAACATGCAAGAAAGTTTCTTGTGCTGACATGGTTTGTGTGACACAGGTTACTTTAGATTTTGCAATTTTCTCAATGGATCAGATATAGGAGGAACATGCTTTGCAACTGCGACTTGAACATTTAAGTGCTCTAAAGGTAAATATTCTCATACAAGCGAGTTCTCAAGCAGGATCCTTCACTGCATGTATGTGCAAGTTTCTGACTACTCTGGATAGCACTTTTACACAATAAAAGTAGAATCATGGGAAATTTCTTGCATATGAAAACATAATTAGATTGTCTTATGAAACTCAAGTTTCACAAGCAAATAGGAATCCTATATTCAAACAAAAAATCCAGAAGGACAGAAAATACCTTTAAGAATTTCTGTGGTTTGGGTTTTGTTCATCTGGTTTTTATTTAACACAAATAGATCCAGTTTTACAACGTCCTTCCCCTTGAACAACAGGGGATCATGGACAATAAATGAAACAGCTGTAACAACCAACTTCTCTCAGCAATTGCCAATATATTTCTGTATATCCTCATTACAGTCAGTAGCTAATAAATTTAATCTCATTCTGACATTAAGCATCAGTTTGTCATCATTCTCATAATTATGTGTAGATATCCCATTCTAGATGTCAAAAGACTATACAAGGACTGAAAAGCTGCACTCTTCACAACAATTTAAGTAATTAAAATGGAGCAGACAATTTTCAGTAACACTTAAGTAACAGGACCCTTTTTTTCTTTTTCAGTCTGATTACTTCATTGATCAGTATTTCCATCATAAAGGATCATAGAAAAGTGTAGGTTGAAAGGAACCTTAAAGATCATCTAGTTCTATCCCCTTGCTACAGGCAGGGCTGCCACTCACCAGATCAGGCTACCCAGGGCCCTAATCAACCTGTCTGTAAATGCCTCCAGGACTGGGGCCTCCTCAGCTTCTCTGAACAACCCATTTCAGAGGGTGGTGAAGCACTAAATAAAGAATTTATTCCAAACACCTAACCTAAATGTCCCCCTGTTTTAGTTTAAAACCATTCCTTCTTGTCCTATCACTATCACACTGTGTAAAAAGTCAGTCTACCTCCTCCTTATAAGCTCTCTTGCAGTACTGGAAGGCCACAATGAGGTCTCCTCAGAGCTTTCTCTTTTCCACACTATACAAGCTCAAATCCCTCAGCATCCCTCCATAGGAGAGATGCGCCAGTCCTCTGATCATCTTAGTGCCCTCCTCTGGACCTGTTCCCAGAGCTCTACATCTTTCTTATGCTGTAGGTCCCAGGCCTAGATGCCTGTACCCCAGATGGGGCTTCAGAAGGGCAGAGCAGAAGGGGATGATGGGATGATCACCTCCCCCTCCCTGCTGGCTACCATTCTTCTGATGCAGCTCAGGATGCAGTTGCCCATCTGCCCTTCAAGTGCACACTGCTGGTTCACATCCAGTATTTCATTCACCAGGGCTTCCAAGTCCTTCTCAGCAGGGCTGATCTCAGTGACCAGTCCATACACAACCCTGGGATTGCTCTGACCCAGGAGTGCTCTCCACTAAAAAACCTAGAGAAAGATATTTGCCTAGGGATTTATTATTCATTACGGCTACATTTTACAAACGCTATTCATTCTTATAAGTTATTCAGATTTTATATTTTGAGATAATGGGAACTTCCACCTTACTTTCATAACTTAAGAGTGAAGAAATAAGCAAGACAGACCTAATGGTAGAACTTACCTGTCATGTGGAGGATCATCATCTGTCTGAGTTCTTTGCTGCGAACTGCGCTTCCGCACTTTGGGAAAAACATTCTTTCTTACGTATCGCCAATCACTGGGCTTCACATCTTGTGCTGACACAATATCTTCAATATCTTCGAGCACTGAATCACAGGCAGCAGGCATCTCTGAGAAACATAAGACTGGCATTAGCAAGCATATGAACACAAAGCCAGGATCTAGCATATACCTGAAATACAGCATACACGCAAGGGATATTCAGCACACAAAGACAATCAATTATCCCAACTTATTTCCTGATGCTGTTTTCTCCCAAGATCTTCCAGGCAGGAAGAAAGCTACAAAAGTTCTTGTTTTGTAGTGGGGGAAAATTACTTGCTTGTTTTTTTTACATCTGTATCTTCTAATTCAAAAAGCCTGCAGCTTCTCTGACATCAGATATGCGAGATAACGGTGTTCTTAATCACACCAGGCATCACAACACAGTGAGTTCCTGTTATCTGCAACAGATACTTCACTCACATCACATGAGAAGAACTGCAGACACAGTCTTGCATGCCTGCATCACAGACTGCTGTGGGCCTTTTATGTGGGTGCTGAAAATAGGTGCACAGTAGTTCAATACGTCCAGATAATACACGAAAATACAAAACAAATGAACCATTCCTAAAAATCCCAACTCCATGGGCCTCACATTTGAGTTAGATCATAGAGCAATATGGCACAATCAAAACTTCTGTCCTCAGGAGCAGGATGCTAAACAACAACACCCAGTTAGTATAAAATATGATCTGACTAGTAGAATATGCTAAAACACCATTAAGATTTATTCTGTTTTCTACAAGAAAGTAAATTCGCTGCAACTTTTGCACCTTCTCATTGGTAAAGGTATTACACAGATGTATATAAGGCTGTATATATAGCTATACAAATATACAGATCTCCAAGTAAATCTCAAGATCCAGATCATTTTTCAAAAAGAAAAAGGGACCTGTTAATGTCGGCTACAAAAAAAAGTACTGCCTTAAGCACACCACAATTAATTCTTAATCAGAATTAAGTTTGATTTACCATTGCAAACCTGATCTAGTATGCATTTCAAGAAATCAGATCACTTATGAAACTACTGCACAAAGGCATTTCATAAGGTTTATGGAGAAAATACAAAAGTGTTCTAAAAGACAGTGAGAAACAAGACAAGCAAGGCTTTAATTTGTTTAGAAACTGATAAGATACACCCAGGTTTTGCAGTTAAATAGTGCAAGGACGTAAGATGTAAAAGATCAGTATGTTTTTCCAGTATGAGTGCTTCTGTCGACCTTGCAAAATATACCTCTAGATAAAACTTCACACAACCTGAACCATTAATCCTCCATGCTCAACTTTAAAAAGAATATACTGGTATCACAAACAGGATGCATTTGACATTAAGATACTTAACTAGTTAGCATTCTTGTAGAAGTCCCAGGATCTTTACGTAAATGCAGCAAAGTATAAAAAGAAGTTGTGAAAAGTCCAGCAATAATGAATACTGAAACAAGTAATTACTGTAAAAACTTACTGAAAGAATTCCCATGCAGAACAAATGTAAGAGTGAAGAATTTTCCTGTATTAACATTACTGAGTAAGCATGGCCATTAAACTACAGACATCTAGCTAAGGAAATAAGTCATTGTTTTAATCCACAAGCATTTTTCATAGCAGACGTTTAAAAAGGAAGACAGAATGGAGATGAAGCAAATAACACAGAAGTTACTGCTTAGACAAAACCTAACTTCAGAGATCAACTGGTTTCCAAATTCATTCCGTCTTCTCACCTAGGCACATGCAAACTACGTCTCAGGGCTTAAGGACAATAACATATACTTTTAAAGAATATTACTTTCAAAAGGAACATGCTGAAATTCTCTGCTTCAATATCAAATACTAAATTGAATGCAAATAGGATTTTACTAAAGCTCCTAGCAATGTTTTCCCTCTATGTTTTTCTGGACAAACATGATTTCGTTTACAAAACTAAACATCCTTTAAGAAGCTATACTGAAACACAGGTGAAGAAGTCAGTTACATGCTTTTTAAATGATCTTATGGGAACAGAGAAAGAAATGGGAGGTCATTATTTGGTTCCTCAGAAAGAAACAGGATTCAAAAAACTACTCCTAAGCCTTCACTATGAATTTGTTGTTCTGATGAGTACTGAGGGTAGATTTTCAGGCACAAGCAGAGCTTTACACAAAAATGCATACAATAAAAATGAAAAAGAACCCAAGAGGTAAATTCGCTCAGTATCTAACAAACAGCACAGCATAACTGCTCAGGTGCTGCCTCATCCCAACAAATATAAAAGCTTCCCCCCAGGCAAACCCCATATGAACATCTGCCCCCACTGCAGCTTATGACGTTCCACATAATTAACAGAGGGGAAAAAAGGTGACATCCCTTACACTGAGTTACATCACTAACAGTTCATATCTATGTGTAATACAATTAACTAAACACAGAGAAGGAAAAAAGAATCACAGAATGGCCACGGTTGGAAGGGACCTCAAGGATCATGAATCTCCAACACCCCTGCCACATGCAGGGCCACCAACCTCCACAGTTAATACTAGACCAGGCTGCCCAGGGCCCCATCCAACCTGGTCTTGAACACCTCCAGGGACGGGGCATCTGCAACCTCTTTGGGCAGCTGATCCACCACCTCACCACTCTCTCTGTAAAGCATTTCCTCCTGACATCCAACCTCAATCTCCCCTCCCTCAACTTCAAACCATTTCTCCTCATCCTGCAGTTATCTACCCTTTCAAAGAGTTGATTCCCCTCCTGTTTGTAGGCTCCCTTTAGGTACTGAAAGGCTGCAATGAAGTCACCCCGCAGCCTTCTTTTCTCCAGGCTGAACTCAGCTCCCTCAACCTGTCCTCATAGGGGAGATGCTTCAGCCCCCTGATCATCCTCATGGCCCTCCTCTGGACCCTCTCCAGCAGCTCCCTGTCTTTCTTGTACTGAGGGCTCCACACTTGGAAGCAGTTCTCCAGATGGAGCCTCACAAGAGCAGAGTAGAGGGGAACAATCACCTCCCTGTCCCTGCTGGCCACCCCTCTGTTGATGGAGCCCAGGATACCATTTGCCTTCCGAGCCACAAGGGCACACTGCTGGCTCATGTTAAGTTTTTCATCCAACACGACCCCCAAGTCCTTCTCCACAGGGCTGCTCTCAAGGACCGCTCCTTCCAGTCTGTAGGGATGCCTGGCATTCCTCCGGCCCAAGTGCAAAACTCTGCACTTTGCCGTGTTGAACCTCATCAGGTTCACCCGGGCCCACCTTTCTAGCCTCTCGAGATCAAAAGGTCAAAAAGGTTTGTTTTTTTTCCCTTTTCTCTTCTAGAATCATAACCACATAACAGAACAGCTCACAGAATAAGCCTGGTTCACTTCAACGGCCCACAGAAGAACACAGTCAGATAAAATCCATACCTTTTTAAGCAAGGTGTAAACTCTTCTGGACAATAATCCTGGGGGAGGGGGGAAAAATGTGACAGAGCATAAAGGAGCAGAACTGATGGACAGGAAGCGCCATGTGCCGCGGTCACGGCCGACGAAGCACTCCTCCCAGCAGCTGCCAAGGGTACACATCCGAGCTCATCCCGCTCTTACCACGGCAGGGAGAAAACCGCGCTGCTAACGCAAACCGGCCCAGAGCCGGGCGAGCCCTCCTGACGAGCTCGTGGACCGGCGGTTCCTCCTCGCCACGGGATTAGCAGCGAACCCCGGGCACCGAGCAGGGACAGACCGCACCGGCCGCGCCTCCCGACCGCTGCCAGCGGGCAGCGCGACGCTCACCTGCGCGGGACGCGCGGCGCCTCACAAACGCGGCGCCATCTTGGCCCGAGCCGCCCCGCCTTCCGCAATGGGCGCGGGGCGGAGCCGCGACGGCGGCCGGCAGCGGGCAAAAGAACGCGTCTGGAATCTTTGTTTCGCCCTCCGGAGAGCAGCAGGCGGCAGCCTCCCTCAGGCCGGAGGGAAAGGCGATGAAAGCCCCGAGTGTGCTCTGAAGCAGCCTTTAAGAACAGACAATTCTAGGCAGGACTGAGCGCTGTTAAAACCGCCGTGGCCATCCTTACAGCCCCAGCTGCACTCACCTTTCTGATTGCTCCTTGCTTAAGAGCCGGAGTATTTCAGAGGTGTTGTCAGTGGGACGGATGGTGAGGTGTAATTCACTGCTTCTGTGGCACTTTTTACCCAGAACACAACGGAAGAAAAACATTTTAAAATCCAGAGGTGAAGTTCATCTGCTTTAGACACCCTCCTTCATCGTACAGCCTAAGTAGTCCTTGGTATGTCAGAGTAGCTGTGTATGTAGCTGTGCATCCATACCTGTCTGCACAGATATATGCGTTGCCAATGCTAGTACTTTAACTGCTTCCTTATTAGGTTAACGATGTTCTTCCCTTTTCAGTTTCCTGTGTTTTTTTCTTTTTATTATTTTTTATTATATTCATTATATTTGCACTCAGTGAGTTAAACTTTGTTCTGGGAGCGCTGTGCTACCCCACAGTGACCTGACCAGCCAAGTGTTACCCCTCTCCTTAAACAAAACTAGGCAAGCATCAGCAGTGTTCTATGACTGACTTGAGGACCAGAGCACAGATAGCCTATGAGACCCACCCAAAATCTCCAGACGGCTAAGATTGACAGAACAGCATATGTTAAGGAGAGAGAGGTCCAAGAGCAGCTCCCAGGAAGCAGTAAGAGCAACTCTACACAAGTCCCATACCTGGTGACATAAATAGGCCATGCTGATCAGTTTCAGCACGATCCAGCAGAGCTCTTACTTTGTCCTACTGCCAGGAATTCATAATATTAGGCAGTTTCTGTGCCAGCACAGTCCTGTTGCTTCCTAGGATTGTAGCCACAACTTGGAGGGAGCCCTGTGCTTTTGAAGTTCATGAGTCTGAAGTGCTTTGTAGCAAATTCATGAAAAACTACCAAGCTGCACAGAGATCTGTGGTAATGCTTCAGCAGGTGGCAAAGGAAGCAGAGGACTGCAAGAAGAAGGCTTTGCTGTATCTACCTAGGAAGATTACTTTTGAAGAGGCAGCAGCTGGCAGCGCAAGACCCAGTACTGTCCTTCAGTTAGCAGATGATAAATCCTCAGTTGTTCTAGAGGATCTCACTTAACAGCCTTATGAAAAGGGAAACAGCCTGCTGGCTGACTGAGGACCCAAATTTTGATAACAAACTTATTATCTGATAACTAACCTGCCCTTCTGGGTAGTAGAGTAGGTAGGAAGGCAGGCAGGGAAGAAAACATGAGTTTTAAAGTTAAATACGAGAAATTAGATTTCTTTCTTCATTCCTGCAGTTCAGGTGAATCTAGCCCCTCATGTGTCAGCAACACTCAGTGCCACTTGGAATTGAAAGCAGTGCCTTTATTTATTTATTTACTTATTTTTATTGTTAGGTGGAATTCTCCCTACAGGTTCAAGGGCATTTAACTCCTTTGTAAAGGGCGATGTTGTTGCCAATCAGTCAGTCTAGTTTTGACAGATGTTGTAGAATCCTTTTCCCATTTGCCAGCAACCAAGAAATGCAGCACTCATAGGCCACAATAATGCCTACTTGAAATAAATATTTGCATGCTGGGTAATGTTGAGGCACTCTGTGCTAGCTCAGGGCAGCAGAAAAATATTTCAACTGCGTTGGGTTTTTTTTTGTTTGTTTTTTACCTGCAGCTTAAGTGCATCTCAAGTTTATAAAGTAGATGCAGAAAGCAAAGTCAAGAGGAGAAAGAATGATGAGAAACATAGCAATCAGAAACAGACACCAGGGAAAAATTAAAAAATGCTCATGGCAGCTGTACGACAGAAACTGAGAATGGGTCAGGAAACTATGACAGACAGGATAGAAAGAGGACATTTATAGTAATTACTACTGTAAGTGGAGCTCAGAGAAAACAGTCCTGTAGGCCTATTATTATTTCTTAGGAATTCAGAAGAACAGAATATCTGTAATCATCCCTTCAGTATTAATATGTATGGAGATTGGAGAACAGATATGTAGATAAAGAGATAAAAATAATGCCTTCCCCTTGTGCACAAGGAAAAACATACATGACTTGCTCAGAAATGAAATACTTAAGCAAACATACATGCAACTGTGATTCAATTAACCTGATATTTTTTGTCTTTTAATAGTTTATTGACGATGCATCTAGAAAGGTGCAGCACCAGGACCAGAATGGGAGAACAGGTTAACATGCACCTGGTGTATGAGAGCGTTGGAGGTGACTCATAAGTAAATAGAACTTCTTATTTTTCAAGCTACAACTGGGAGACTTCTGGAAAATTATCAGGAGAAAAGCTAACATCCTCAACAATTTCTTTAATGCTATTTAATCCTAAAATAACCAAGCTTTTATGAAGTGTCCAAAAAGTCTGCTCGTGACTTAGGAGGAGGGAATCAATGAAAATAAACGTATAGTATTCCAGTTTCTGGATCTCCTACTATGTGTCTTGCATCTTTTTTTTTTTTTTTTAATTTTGTTTCACTCTGGCTTAAAAAAAAAAAAAAAAGACATAACTTGTTAGTATAATTTAAAAAAATAGAATTGAAATACAGCTGATGCCAACTGAATATGAGAAGCACTAACAATAACAATGCGATCAGCTAGTCTCCACTAAGAAGGACGATAGGCACCAAAAATAATTTTAAAAAGCAGCACACAAATCTAAACTCTTTAAAAAATCCTTTTTATTGATTCATTACCATACAAAATTTATTCAAATTACATCCATTTGAAGTGGTAAGATCACAGCTAGAGAACAGGTCATCCTTTAATAAATCTATTTACAAAACTTACCATAAAAGCTTTTTTTTGTTGTTGTATTTTTCCTTTTTTTTTTTTTTTACAGTATTTTACAGAATTTTTTAAAACTAGCATACAATGCAAAGCTAAATTAATTAGTATTTTGCCCACGCACATTGGGACAAGTGTTTAATTTGTACATAAAGAGATGGTCTGCATTAGTCTTCATTTTCTTTTCCCCCCTCAAAAGTGCCCCTTTGTCTCACAAATCTTCATGCTCACACAACTTTTACTTTCCTCTTCCACAAGACGGAAACTTTAAATACTACAATTTTATTTACAGATCCACATCTAAAAAAACTCTTAAAAAATTACAAACCAGCTAAAAAATATTCTGGCAGTGTTTACAAGTTAATTCTATTATACAAAACTGCTAGATAACTAAAGTGTGAGTTGAAACATATATCAACTTAAATACAACTGCTGAATGATCTATGCACACATTTGTACATATAAACACACACTTAACACTGTTTAACAGTTCTTTATGTGTTGCCCTTTATACATTTGTTATATTCCAAAACTCACACAGTCATATAGTTTTCTTTTTAGTACTGTGACTTCTTGCCTTTTCATGTGTGAGCTTTCATAGCAGCAACTCAATGGTACCAGAATACCTGCGTACGTAATATCCTACTACAGTACAAATAGTACTAATTTTCTGAATATGTCAGATAAGCACAACAGTAATGCAAACCAAAGGGTTACATGGGCATAATCTCATCAACGTTAATTTAGCCCAGAACATGGCAACATACTTTACACTCAAAAAAAAAAAAAAAAAAAAGTAAGACTTCTTAGAATTCCTCTCACTTTCAGAAAAATAAATATTGGTATTATACTATTCTACCAAAGATCTTCGAAAAATAAATGCAATTCAATTGATGTGGTACTTACAATTATGTACTTTGGAAAAAAAAAAAAATTAGTTCCATTTTGCTGGCAAAGAGAATTATAAAAAGCTGGAAGCAGAGGAAGCAAACCCACTGAGATAAATATGATATATTGAACAAACAAAGCTTGGCATAAGTGTTTTCCATAGAGGGAAAAACCCACAGTGCATCTCTAGTAGGCACTTAACATAAAGCCCCACTTAGTACCACAAAAAATTATGTACCAGTTCTAATGCACACTGGGGGCAGTGAAATTGAACTGTGCATCTTCGTTCTAGTTTAAAAAAACAACCAACCAACAAAAACTACTTTCACACGCACACACAAGCATTTTTAAAAATCTGTGATTACTACGAGAAGTGGCAGAACTTCATACCTTTCAATATTCGCAATATACACTACATTTACAGTGTATTTTTTTATTAAAAGCTTTTAAGGACATAAGTATTTGACCTCATAATGAGACATATATGCAGCTCAAAACGAGCATTATGACAGCAATTTAAACATTCCCACGAGTAGCTGAAGAAGCTCATTTCACACTTCTGCATTACTTCATATTTACGTTTACTGCAGTTACAATCCATGTTGTGACACTCAAAAGACATGCATTCTCTGCAGAAGGCACGACCTGAAATACTATTATAAAATTGTTATTTGCGACTAAGCCAGTTCATTGAGCCCTTCTCCATTAACCCACTTGTCATGGAAAGCAGAGACTGGGGGAGTGTGAATACAGAACTTCTACGGTCACCTGCTCACCCTTGCTGACTCGCAAGGCACTGGAGCTTAGGGTCAAGGAGAAGACCTTTTTGTAGTATTCTAGGGAAAATTTCATTAAAATATCAGCAGCGTTCAAGAGCCTTGTTTATTCAATAATGCTATCCTATGGTAAGCAGGGGAGGACAACAGAATGAATGGACGTGTTCCAATTCCATTAAAAAACATGATTTAGATACGCACTTCATTTAAGAGAATCAGCTGTATATAAATTCATCCACCAACGAAGGAAGCTTCTCTAAATCGTAAGCATCAAAGAGATCACTGATGCCTTCTTCATCCCCGAGGCTCAGCAAATAATCTTCCTGAAGCAGAGGAGGCAGCAAATTCACAAATGGTCCTTCAAAGTTTGAGGGAATTTGGTCCTCGGTCTGCTGTAGAAGGTTGGCTGGAGAAGCCAATGGAGAGATTGTTGCCATGTTTACTGAGCAGTCACCTTGTCCTGAGTTAACAGAAGCCACTTCTGTGGAAGGGGGAAAAAAATAAAGGTGATACATTGAATCCCATTAGAACTAGTAGACCTGGATGACACAAAGTAACAACCGCATAAGAGCCTTTCATAAACCATCATTTCAGCAAAATTACCTCAAGTTCTGAAAATTTCTAGCCTAGTTTTTGATGTTACAAAGGGCTTCTCAGAAAGTCTCATGCTTCTATCACCACTGATTTTTCCAGTTTAAAAAAAAAAAAAATCAAAGATTTAAACAACTACTGAAGAAAAAGAATGATGTTTTTTTTTTTTTTTTTTTT